CAACATGCTTGTAATCACGTCAATCTATAGACCGCCTCATCTAAAGGTACTTGCAAAGGTCAACAGCGATTGTGAGCACCGCGGTATGCGGTCAGCTTTTGAGTTGGTAGTTGAAGTAACTCCAGTTTTAGAGACTTTCACTGCAGCCATTGTAGTCGGGATGGGCTGGTTTGAGATTAATATTCATAACCCATCTTATTTCATACACTTGCTCGTATTTATAATCACACATTTGGGTGGGAAATTCAATTGTTTCGTTCCATTCATTATGAGAACTTCATTTTAAGTGCACTGAGCCAGTGAATGTTTTTGCGCCTTATTCATTGTTTTCAAGCGCAATTGGACTTGTGCCTATGTTGCTATCACCATGGGAACCCCTTTTACCACTGTGTTTCAAAAGATTCAATTCAACGTTATTTCCATGGAGAGTTGAAATAAATCCAACTTTTGTTTTGTTTAAAGGAGTTCCAATCGGTCGGCGCATTCTTTTGAAAAAATGATTTCGATATGTTCCACCCTACACACATCGTTTCATCGAATAGTACTCTGTACTTCATGTGGCTATATTAAGGTTACACTTATGTATACATTCATCTATGTACGTATGTATATATGTATATATTAATGTCTCTGTTATGATTAGTAATTTTTATACCCTGAACAGGGTATATTAAGTTTGCCACGAAGTTTGTAACAGCAAGAACGAAACGTCGAAGAACCTATAAAATATATACATAAATGACCAGCATGATGTGCTGAGTTGATTTAGCCATGCCCGTCCGTCCGTCCGTCTGTATATATTGTATGTAAACTAGTCCCTCAGTTTTTAAGCTATCGATCTAAAATTTTACAGCTGTCTTTTTTCACAAAGAAGCTGCTCATTTTTCGGAACGGCCGATATCAGACCACTATAGCATATAGCTGCTAAACAAACTGAACAATCGGAGGTAAGTCCTTGTATGGAAAACTTTTTCATTTGACGAGGTATCTTCACGAAATTTGGCACGAGTTATTTTCTAAGGTAACAACGTAATCTCCGAAAAAATTGTTTAGATCAGATCACTATTAATATTAACTGAACGATTGGAGTAAAGTGCCTGCATGGAAAACTTTTTTATATGACGAGGCATCTTTACGAAATTAGATCGGAATCAAGTTATTGTAAGGAACATTTGTATCTGTGAAGGGTATCGGTGCAACCGATGTTAATATTTTTTCTTGTTTGTTTGCATAATCTACAACATAATATAAAATAATATATAAAGGGAAGTCATGTTGTTTACACTATTTATAACTGGCTCAATATTGGTAGAGATGAACATTGGATACCTTTTATCTCTTTATTCTTGGACAAGTTTTCACACCTTTTAAAGCACAAAGATGAAACATTATAAGGAAAATACATCCACTTAATTTTATTGAAATTGCTCACATATTAGCCGATATATGCGGTACGAAGTAAACCGGAAGTTCGAAAATATTTCGATAAGATATATGGAGGCTAAGAAAAGTACTCAACCGATTCAATCCATTTTTGGCTTACTTGCATACTATTATCCGAAACCAACTCTCTCCAAATTGCAATAATATATCTCACAGATTGACCGTTATTTCCGGTAAAAAGTTAGAACTGGAGTCCCTATATTCCGTAACTAGGGGCTTGAACAGTACGATTTTGTTAATTTTGAGATGGTATACCTCAAAAGAAATATTTTTGCAAATCTTGTCCTAATATATTATTTGGTGCTTGATTGGTATACTGGAATGCAAAAGAATCATATGGAATTTAAAATCGTGGTTAGATAGGAAGTAGTACAACCACGCCTACCTGCTATCTATCCGATTTCGCTTATTTTCTCATTTTTAGATGGGATTGCTAAAATAATAATATGTACCAAATTTTGTTGAAATTGATCTATTACCGGAGATATATGATTTCGCCTAAATGTGAGCGGTAACAAGCCCATCGTTCAATTTTCACAACGGTTCCGTTAGAACCCACTTGTGTCATCGCGGATGTAAAATTTAATGTCTCTGACGCATTGAGTTATTGATTTATCGCACTTTTAGTCGTTTTTAACAAAACTGTTGCATAGGGAGTGGGCGGGGTTATCATCCGATTTCATCCATTTTCACACTGTTGAAGGAGGTGTCATAGTAGAAATATACATTTAACTTACTAGGAGGCGGGGGCACGCCCATATCTTTGAAACATAGATGTCCCTCCCCAATAAAATCTTCTGCACCAAATTACAGATATATACTTATCTTAATTTAGTGCTTAATTATGGCGTTTTATAAGTTTTTGATTAATGGTGTTTTGTCCGATTACGCCCATCTGTAATACCAAACTTTATATGGTGCCAAGGAAAATGTGTACCAAGTTTCAGCAAGATATCTTAATTTTTACAGTTACAGCTTGCATGGAAAGACAGTCACCCGGATTTCAACTCGTCTCTTCATCCTGATCATTTATATGTACATAATCCTATATCTAACTCGATTAGTTTTAGATGATACGCACAACAGTTAGGTGCACAAAACTATTATATCCTGTGGCAACAAGTTACAAGAGTATAAAAATTATACATAGCTACTGCAAGAGTACAGTAATTTTCGTATATGGATTATACTGATTGTTGCTACTGATCAAGGCGGTCTGTGTTAGCACGCACCATGTGGAACCGGTAAAACATTTTTTATATCACAACAAAAAATAGCATTGACAGTTGCATCGCCAAGACATTCCGACTACTTTGCTAGATTATGGGCGAATGACGCACAGTGCATAATTTTTTGTTTTTTTTTAAACACCCCTTTGGGGAATTTATTTTATAGCAATCTAGTAAATTAATACTAATAAACTTTTTGTTTTTGACTTAAATTTATACGGTTTTAAAATTACAAAATGCTTATCCTATGATATTCAGATGTGTAAATTTATACATATGTATGTATTATAGTCACTATTTTAGTGAGACCTGAACAATGACTATTTTATTTTATAGTTAATTTTTTTTACACAAGTTCGAAAGGTTATACTCGATTTAATCTTCTGGTAAGGCCATCATTATTAAGGAGCTGGAGAGCCTTAATGTTGATATGTTGTTGAAGTCGTTGTTCATGACTTTGAGCATACTTTTTGATGACGTTGTCAACAGTTTCTACATTCAGATCCATATGCAAGTTGTCATTACGAATGTACCAGGGTGCATTAACAATACCACGAAGTAATTTGTTTTCAAATCTTTGGATAATTAATCTGTTGATTTGACTGGTACAGCTCCAGAGTTGAATACCATAAGTCCAGATCGGTTTAAGGACTTGTTGATACAAGAGTAGCTTGTTGTATATTGACAAGGCAGAATATCTGTCTAATAGCCAGTATATGTTTCTGTACTTAAGTTTTAATTCTTCTTGTTTTTTTTTTTTTGACATGTGATTTCCACCTAAGTTTAGTATCAAGGGTCATACCAAGATATTTTGCTGTATTCTCATACGGAACTATTTTTTGGTTCATAAATATTGGTTTGTGCTGCATACGTTTATTGGTGAAATCGATATGCACTGATTTGGTTTCATTCAGCTTAATGCGCCAAGTAGTTGATCAGCGTTGTACTTCTGCAATGGCTTTTTGTAATTTTATACACTAATTTGCGGAACTAGCGCTTGGATTTTTTTTAGAGCAGAAAAAGCGTTCTGCATGCTAAACTTTATCGAAAGCTTGTGCTACATCAAGGAATATTGCTGAGCACACTTTTTTTCTTCTAATGTTTTTTCAATTGTATCAGATATTCGATGAACCTGATCAATCGTAGAGTGTTGATTCCGAAAATGATGATTTGGAATAAGATTTTTCTCATCAATTATTGGTTTTAATCTTTTCACTAAAAGTTTTTCAAACAATTTGGACATAACCGGTAGCAGAGAAATTGGTCGGTATGATGTGGTTTCATAACACAGTGCATAATGGCTCACAAATATTCTCGAAGCATTGCACAGAACAATGCAATATTTAAACGGCAATAATGAAGCTTTCGGTGGTGCTGTCTTACCACTGTCTGGTGATTGCTGACAGCCCAACCATTCTTTGCTTTTCTTAAGCCAATGAGAATAACAGATTAAGCAATCGTTGTTATGGTAAAGTGTTTAAACACTTCAATTGACCATAATTTCAAAATTCAATTGCAAACTGATGCACTCTCAGAAATACAACAGTTGTTAGATATTGGCAATGGTAGAATAGAACTGAAAACAAATGCGTAGTTCATTATACTGTCAAACAATTTCTGCATTTGTGTTCACGACAAAAAATTGATTAATTGAGAGTATATTCCTGAAACTAAAAATTAATTGTTTGAATCATAACCGGATCAGTAATTAGGCTATATTAGCCGCCAATAATTTAGATGTTGATGAAATTAATTTGCAGATATAACAGTTGTTGCCAGGCTATCAGGTGTATTTTAAACCATTCGCAATAGTTGTTGATGAAAATGAGAACGTAAATTATGTACGTATATATGTAGATATACCCGGATCGCATAATCTTCGGTTGAAAATTGGTTCATCTATCAGCGTAATTTCAATCCGCAATTATGCAACGGTAGACGTATAAATATTATTGTTAAAAATTAAGAATGGTCTACTCTCTTTCATTATCTCAAGTGGTATCAACTAACAACTTTGAAAACTACTCATTTGTTACTTGAATATAAAATTAATAACATAAAAAATCCAACATCTTATATTTTATGTTTATTTGTGCTTAATAACAAATCTTAGAATTTTTCAATCAATCATTTTCAAATTTGAAAGTAATGTTCAAATTTTAACTCGTGGATTCTTACACCGGAAATTCCATTTTCGTTTTTATTCATAAATACAATTAACTGTATTGAATAGCTTAATTAATGTATACCTTATCCATAGCAACGCGTGGACGGGGCTCTCTAGTTTTTCTATAAATATTATTTGTTAATTATCATAATTGTGCTTACCTAAACGCTTCGATATTTCGGAGTTATGCATTTTCGGATTATCCTGTGCAATTTTTCGTCGTTGTAGTCGAGACCAAACCATGAATGCGTTCATTGGTCTTTTGATGTGTTCCTCGTTTTGACGTTTCGTTGTATTTTGTATCATTAGACTAAAGAAGACGTCGCTGTAATAAGAGAGGTTATAAAATACCGTAGATTGAGGAATAAAGATCGGGAGAGTTGTTTTTTTATTATTGATAGCTGCCAAATTGTTGTGGGTAGAAATGCTTTGCAAAAGGACACTGAACTTGGAAGTGTACTCGGTTTTATCTTAGTTTTCAACTAACAGCATATTTATTTTTTTTCAACAACTGTCGTCCCTTTGCAGATGGCGGTCAGCGTATTACACATGTACTTGTATAATGTTTAACAATGCTGAACCCTCCATTTACCGGAAGACATCAAGTGAAGAAGGTGAAGGTGACATCAAGGTTGAAATTTCACCAAATTTTTATAGAGGGCGTAATCGACATGTGTATATTAATTAGAAATAAAGCCAACCCCATTTATCCATTCTACCGAGACTAAAATTATAAATTTCAACAATAAAGAAAACTTCTATGAATTCAAGATCATACAGAGAGAAATAACCTTAATATCACCTCTGCTTGCTCTAGGTATTCACTGTAAAATTTATTTCTTCTTCTCATTTGATTTTATGTACTTGCTACTAGAAAATACAACCCGTCTTACCAGAGAATTACAAATATTAGCATAATAGTGTCCAAGCATATGATTTATTTTAATCTTAAAACCGCCTTCTATATTACTCCTATGTTTTTGAGAAAAAAACTTTAAATAATAGTAATTATATCAACATTTGCTCCTAAATTAGGTAACCCTGACAATTTATTCTGGAAGTAAAGAAAAAGAACTCGAATTTTTTTCTTTTTTGCTAGACTGGCCTTCCAAAATAGGCCCTTCTTAAATTTAATGGATGTGTCAACCAACCAGTGGTGGGAGTTTTAACTAGACCCCTTCTAACATAGCTAACTCAACTTTCTTCAGTTCATATAACAATGCGCACGTCCTTAATTTCAGAGTGGTGCGGAAATTCTAATTAAAACACCACGTCAAACTACAACGGAAATTGCATTCTGTGTATATGTCTGATCTGTGTATATGTGAATAGACAGAAATTTTTAGATTTACATATGTAGGTGTGTGGATGGTGTAATTACCTGGCGCTACTACCACTATTCATCAGGCCACCCATGTTTTGATGTAGATTTGTCATCGGCGATGTGGCCTGCGCATTGTGGTGCAGGTGAGCAGCAGCGGCGGCCATTACAGATGCGGTACTGGCTGAATTCGTTGCGTTAGCGGGTGACGAAACGGCGGCTACGTGCGCGTTTATGTGACTGTGCGTGTGATGATGGGTGGTATGGTGCAACGAATGCTGGTGCTGGCTATGCAACGTTGCTGAGCTGTGGTGTTGTAGCTGATGTGCGGACGAACTTGAAACTCCTACAGAACCACCACCTGAGCTCACTGAGCTACCTGATCCAGCTGAGCCAGCCGACGATGAAGCTGAGGCTGACTGATGCAGTGAAAGCGATGTGGATGACGATGCGGAGTGGTTGTTGCTACTGCTGTGTGGATGGTGTGACAACGCAGTTGGGGATGCGTGAATGCCTGAGTGTGACGTCAATAGAGAGGTGGGATGATGATGCAGCGATGCAGACGCTGAGTTGCTAGATGTTGGTGAATGGCTTGTCGAGGACGCCGAATGCAATGATAGCTGATGATGGCTCAAATGATGATTGTTGTGATGTGCTTGCAGATGAGCTTGTTGATGATGATGCTGTTGTTGTTGCTGATGTTGCTGTTGCAACTGTTGTTGCTGTTGTTGATGAACAACAGCGGCTAATTGACCTAAATGGTGATGATGATGATGATGCTGGTGATGGTGTCCACCTGTACTTGTTGACGATGTGACCGCTGATGCAGAATTGAGATGGTTTTGTAGTTGTTGTCCTGTTGTGGATAACGAGAGTGGATGCGCGAGCGATATGCCTGATAGCGATAATGATGGGATGCGATCCATCATTTTGTGGAGATCCGCTGGGAGTATTTGTTTGCTGCCGTGGTTATGGTTGTGGGAGTGGTAGTGTGTGGAAAAAGAGGTCTTGGATGGAGTGACGGAGTGATGGTGTTGAATTTGGTGACAAGAGCTAAAGGCAAATAGAGTCTGCAAAGACAAAATTAATTTACAGCTCCGTGAGCATATTTTATATGTAATATAATTTTGATGTATATAATGTGTATAATTCTTTAAAAGTCTTAATTTCGCATCAAACTCTGTGTGTATTATTGATTAAGGTTAACGGATCATACTTTTATATTTCTAGTTCGATAACAGTTATATAAAACTATTAACGTATTTATTCTATTTATAATATTATATATAATATTGGGATAATTACTTAAAATAACCCCTATTGAGTGTATTCGTTTTATAAATAACGACGTCATAGTCAAGGAATAATATGAAACTGTAGTTTAAAGGAATGAGTTAGGTTCTTAGAAGAATTATGGAACCATCGTCCCGTTAATTCCTTCGGTGGATGCCTTGAGTCTCTCTGAATACAGCGTGTAGAGAAGTGGCGGCTCGAAATCACCTCAGTTGTTATAATGAAGAACGCAAAGGCTTTTCTGTTTTTTGTTCTTTTAGAACAACGTAACCTACATACTTGTACATAAATGTTTAAGTATATATTTGTTTGTTTTGTTTTAAATATGTTGATATCGTCTGTGAATAAACTGGTACAAATATAGTTTCAAATAAATTAAATTCACTTAAGCAAATATATACATACTTACACTCCATTGTGTAGTGAAAGCACCGTTGGGACCCTCAAAAAGTAGTCGAAGGGAATTTTCAACAAAAAAATAAACATGTCGATTGTAAAATGATTTGTTTGCACAGGCAAGTGAAAGGGGAAAACTCAATATATGTATATACATCTTACAACATACAGTACATATATATTTGTGTGTACATATTTCGTGGTCCTTCTAATGATCGTATGACTTTTGGTACACTCTTGCCCTACAAGAACAGTGACAGTCATCTGACCGGCAATATGACAGCCATAGTTGAAAAAATTTTGTCAGCGCGCAGAACAAAGTTTCTATCATTAGTGTGTGAGTTTGCATCTTTCTTTAACACATTGGTATTCGCAATTGATTCACATTATATATATATACTGCTCACTCTCATTTCTTTTTCTGACTCATTGCTGACCATAAATTAATCATAGTTAAAAATTGTCAGTTATGAGTGAAATTTCTGAATTTAAAAATGCCTAAAGAAAAATTAAAATCAACTAAAAATATATTGAATTTTATTTGAAACTTAATACACGGCAGTCATTTTACTGTTCAATAGTCTTGTACTGTCAGTGGTGACAGTACTAAAGCATTCAGCAATTTCATTCTTACACATGTAAGCAATATGATTGGGAATATATGTCTCTGTTTAACAATAACAGTGTCGGTCAGTTGACAAGTAAACTGTTCGTCAGTACTGAAATAATAAATGTGAGTGTATTGGTGAACCCATCAGCAGTTTCTTGTAGGGTATCCACTTATGTACATACATACTTATAGTATATATCGCATAGAAGCTTAATTCTTGATTAATAATTCCATCAGTAAATGCGAATGCAATAGACAGTGCTAACCCAAATTTTGTTTAAAAAAGGTACATACATATGTCGCAGCCACATATCCGGCAGCCGCATTTTCATATAAATTTACAAACACACATTCTCAAATGGAAGAGTACATGAGTAATGTGCTAAGTACCACTTGTATGGGGGTGTTATGTGTCGGGGGATGTTTTGAGTGATGACGAATTAAATGTTTATAAACTTGTACTTAACCACAAAGTGAAAATGGTAACGAAAAAAAGCAATAAGAAAAAAGTAAATACCATAAGGGACAGTTTGACAAAATCAAAGGATTGGGTTATAAAATTCGCCGGCATAAGTTGTGGTCTCTCCCGGCTTAGTGTATCAAGTGCCTTAACGCCTAATGAATTTTCCATTATTCACAAAGAAATACTTCACTCCAACGCAGTCAACGAGCGTCTGCCGAGGACTGGCGGACTTCATCATATATCATCATCATATAGCACAGTGATTACAGAAGGGTTTATAATAATAATAAAGATCAAATATTTTCCACATATAGCTGTTAATATAAGCAATAATCTTTTTTAAAATAAAGGTAAAGATTTTGGTAATTATCTTGCTCTGTTGTAGGACATGTTTAAAATCGGAAATTTTCTGCTGTGTTATATATATATATAAACAAAATTTGTTTGTTGAAATAATAACTTTGTCAATATGGTTTGAAGAATGCAGTGTTCATATATGACGGTTACTTACAAATGGCTTTTACATGCAAATTCAATTGCGACCTTAGTAAAATATTAATTGCATGTACAAAATTCTATATAATACGGGTATACACTATACAGTAATTATCTATTTTTATACAACTTGACCACAGTGCAGTGGCGATGGGGCTGAAGTTCTAGTGGCAGATCCATTCGATGAAAAGTTTAATTTTAAAAAGCTGTCAGTATGTCTATAAGTAAGCGCGTCGCTTTGAATATTTTGCTCGTTCCATTCAGATTTGAACCGTTTATGTTACTTAAGCGGAAGCGGAAGTGCGTTTGCCCGCAAGCCAAAGAGTTGGCCACAGGCAAACGACGGCTCCACACAAAGAACTTTTATTATATTTTATGAAAATTTAAAACAAAGCGAAGTTTTATAGAACACGAAATCAGCAAAGCTTATTTACGGTTGCAGTTCGCTTTCCATTGTTTTACATACTTCAGGCAGTCAACTGAGAGACCAACGTGTTGAAGGCGTAGCATTAGCTAGGGGGTTAGCGGTCAAAAGCATTAATAGCTGAAATCAATTACTTAATTGAACAAAAACGGAAAACAAATAATGAGCTGACGCGCACACGAACTTTAAGTATTTAAACTTGTACCCAAATAGAGGTCAGAAAACTCTTAACTTTATCCTTTCGTAAAGCAGATTGTTCCCTAGTGGCGAATGAGTAAACATTTTAAATGGGTGCGTGCCGTCGAGTGCCCCAAAGTGTTGCTTTGCAAACGGAATTGGGATAATATGTATGCCTCATCCTTCCCTTTGCACTGCATTTGTCCCTGACCGCTTGTGTGAGAATTATTTTTGTCACCCTCGACATTATTCTTTCGTCTATTATTCTTTCCACAACGCATCCAGTAATTTGAGCTTTTGGCAAATTCTTATTTTATCTTCGTTTTGTTATGTTTGGCATTGTTTCGAAAGCATAACGGAGTGAAAAGCTGTAAAATAATCATAATCAGGCTATTTATTTAATTTCCATGAGGCTAAACTAAAACGCTTTATGACCAGCTTAAGTATCGGTTTATGACACCGACAGTTGTTGGTACAGTTCTCTGCTTTCCTCTCAAGTGCTTTACAGCTTTATGTTTTAATTATTTTCTTAATGGGAGGGTTGTACAACTTTTCCCTGTTTACTATATGGGCGCTCTGTTTGACTATTTCTCTTAAGGGCATTGATAGCGATCTCAAACGCTGTAATTGAATAATTCTGAAATAGTACTATGGTCCAAAATGACATTGCGGTGGTTCCCATATATATTTTACCGCTTATAGTCAGAATTACGAAACAAAATGAACGGATAATTTAAAAACTTTATATCTGCCGAACTAAAGTCCATATACTAAAATAAATATTCCTTTTTGTTTATACTCTCCAAACAATTTGCACAAGAGTATAATAGTGTCATTCCTAGTTCCATAAATAACGATTGCAACAACTAAGATACCTATATTAGGATGCCTAAAAAACAGCCATACTCAGTCGTCAATTTTTTTTTAAGTCTAGGATTTTCAAAAAATCCAGCCTTTTTAGGCTTAAAGTACCTTAGGGTTCTAAAGGCATTATTCAATAAAAAGAGTGTCGAATTACATTTGTGTCAATTAGCTTCAGCATGTATTAATTACAATCTTTTTAAAACAGTTTGGAATTTTGCGCCTTACAAACTTGCCAAGATCTCATAGGACGACATTTTGAATTAATAAAGAATATCGAAAGAAATACTTAGCACTAACCTTGAAATTTGGAAACTCTCACCTAAATATGGCCGGTATATTTTCTAACTGACAAATACATTTTTTAAGAATATGCCTACGTCCGGTTGATTTTATAAATAATATACATAATACGATTTGGAGTAAAAAGTAAAGAAGTTACATTAAAAGTTTCCCCCTGTCCCTTACATCAATAGAATGATTTATGCATTTTTGCTTTACTTTATGCCGTACATATTGGTTAGTGAAAGAGAGGGCATACTAGGGGTGTGCTTCAGTTATGGCCAACACTGTACCTAATATAAATATTTTAGTTGTTATGGTTACCTTTGTAGGGTAGATATTGTTCATAGTGTAAGATACCTCAGTAAAAGAGTAGGATAACGTATTTCTCACAGCAGTGTTTATAATAAAATTATACAGATCTAAAATTTTTCACTCAAATTTTTTTAACAATTGTGAAGACTTCTTCCTACCCCTTCCTTACCTGTCTTTTATTAGAAATAAAGAGGAGCATTTAAATTGTTACACATATACATAATGAAAAATTGCTTACAGATCCTTCCGTCCTCACTACTTGATTAAATTGTAAAATATACGCACGAGCCGCGAAAATTGCAGAAGCTTACCGCCAACAGTTTGTAGTCAAAAGCATTTGTTTCTTGCATTTTGTCAACAATAACTATACCAATTTTACGCAAACAGTAGAGAGGAAAAGACAACAATTACATGATATAAAAATCATAATTGCCTTAACAGTAGGTTGCCACTGAATTTATGGCTCAAAACGGACGCTACGTTAACACTTGCTATCTTATCCAACTACTTATTGCCATTGGTAAGCCTGAAATACTAAACATATGTATATTTCAGGCTTTGCTAAATCCAACCGTGTTTACCTCGTATTAAAAGTTATGATACTGTAAATATTATATAATACTTCAGTATAAACTAAAATTCGTTTAACCTCTTTATCTTCTGGAACAGGATTAAATTTTCCGGAACTCCATATTCCTCGGTAATTGTATATGGTACATACATAAAATATATCTATATTATAGATTTTTATTTT